CCTCCCCGGAAGCTCCGCGTGGTGACCCTGGGCGGCTGCTGTGGCCACCTGATCCTCCAGATCGGCCAGCTCAGATTCTGCAGTAACACTGTTGATCTTGCGTGCGGCGTCTTCCAGGTTGGTCAGCTGCCCCTCCAGCCCGTACACTGTGCTGGCCGTCAAGTACACCTGCAGAGCCAAGGCAGGGAGAGGTGCCAGTGATTTCTGTTTTGTGGGCACAGAGGTTTGAGCAGACTGCATGTTCCACGATGCCTTTGAGCTTCCCTCCTTGCTAACCCACTACAGGGAGGCTTACCTGGCAGAGGAAAGTCATGGGGGAATAACCTGAAAACATGCATCCCCAAAGAGAAGGGAGGCGTGAGGTGGCTGAACTCCAACTCATAGGTGCTACAATGGTATTCCAAAATAGATTTGTTCCAGATTCACCAGCAAAAAAACCCCAAAGCTGAAAAGCTTGCTTTCTTTATTTTCAATGTTCAATTGCATAACAAACCCCCTGAAGTCTACAAGGGGAAGCCAACAGAGCACAGCTCATATAAAGCTGCATTTATTGAAACATGCCTAATGACTTCTGGCAATCAAAACTCTGTAAGAGTAACTGTTCAGCAGCATTTGGTTATTAACTTCTTACAGAGTAACCGCGCTTACATGTAGAACAGTCTTCCATCCCATCCTGCTCCCACCCAAATATAGAGCAGCCAAAACCTTCCGCCTCCTTGCCCTTTGCCCACAGTGAATCTGTGGAGGGTCAATAGACTTATTCTGGGCTACATAAGAGAGAATAACAGACTTTATCATTTAGAGATCTTCCCTAAAAACAATCAACTTTTAATATTTTGATCCACCTATGATACCTCTGATAACTGCAGGCAAAGGTTTCATTTCCTATTCAGCTCCTCAGAGCAATAATTCATGACAGACTGTGCTTTATCTGTTTGCTTTATTTCACAAAGAAATCTAAGGTACCAGGATGGATGGAGGTCTCTGGTTTACAGAAAAGGGTAATTTTCAAGCATTAGCTTTTGACACCTGTGCTTAAAATTGTGCAGACCCATGCAAAAATACTGCACCTTCTGCCTATTTACTAGATAGCCAAGAAGCTGTTTCCATAAGGCTGATTACAGCAAAGTGGAAATGAAATATATATTCTGATCTGCCCCACTGGCAGCCTCACTCACTCTAATAGCAGTAAAGACTGTGGTGCTACAAAACTAGCATGAATTAAACATATTCTGTGGCTGACTTCATGGTTCAAGGGGCAAGCAAACAGGATCTGAACCAGATCCTTGAGCAGATACCTTCACTTCGTACCTGTTCTCCACTCAGGTCATTGTATCTGCCCAAAATTCCTAGATCATGCAGTCCTTTGACATGACAGGTATTCAAATCACTTCTGGCCATGCTGTGTCTTTATGGATCAAAAGTGGTGGACAATGACTAGACTAAGATTTAAGTAAGTGTCTACTTTTCATTATTTTTATTTTTGTTTCTTCATTGCTTGCAGTATTTTTTTTCCTTTGTATCAGTTTTTTCAAAGCATAAAAGTATATACATGTTTTCATGTATGTGACTTTGCTAAGAAACAAATTCCCTACATCTTGTATGAAGTGCATCTTGTAAGACCACAGCCTAACTGCAGGCATGAAATCTTTGAAAAATGTACCTAGAACAAATAAGTGATGCCATTTAACATCTTTGCTGAAGTGCTTGGAGACACAGCTGGGCCATAAAATTAACACGCTGATTTAAATAGAAATGCTCCTGTTTTTTGGGTTTTAGTTATTCTTTCCATTAATTTAAATGATACATCTTTGTGGCGTGACATACCACAGCCACTTCAGATTAAAAGGTGATTTTTTTTTTATTTCCCTATCACATCTAAAAACTCGGGGCAAGAATAAAAAGGAACATTATGAACAGAAACATCATTAGAAACTTAAAGAAAAGATGCATTTAAATGCTGTGCCAAAATGATCTGCACAATAAGTTGTACTTTTCAAGAGGGGAAAAAAAAATCTAAAGAAAATAGGACTGATTGATAGAAAAATGTGGGAAGGGAAGGTCACCAATGTTTCTGCAACTCAGTCAGCCCCTACATTTGTTAAATTTTAATTCTATTGAACGTTTTCCAGTTAGTTCTAAATTACAGATTTTTCTGAAGAATATTCTCTTTACCTGAAAAATTGTTGTGCTTCCAAACAGCAATGGGGCACTTGCAGGTCTCCACTACATTATGCCCTTATTCACACATTCACACTCAGATTGTGGAGACCCATTTTACTACCATTTATGTATGCACAGCTTCCACTAAAACCCACCCAACCTCGTGCTGGTACAGGTGGCCCTACGTTCTCCCCACTAATGCTTGCACAGTCCCCGAAATGCTACAGAGTGCAAAAATGAACGAAGTGTCTAAATATATCCATATCCTCTTCCAAAATTTGCTGCAAAGAGGATGCACTGCATGCAGATATGCTCCCGGCTGCACTGGGAAAAGTTATGGATTCCTGGATTTCTAAAGGCTCTTTAACTCTACTATGGAGCGTGGTGGTGAAATCTTGAAACCACGAAGTTTTGCCATCTACTTCAAATCCTGTGCAGGGCAGAGAAAGATGTAGTGCGAGGACACAGCAAGGCTGAGCTGGAAACCTTATGTGTTATGCAGGGAATTGAAGGAAGCTAAACCAGGGATATGCTGCAAGGAGGGCAACGCCAGAGAAAGAAATGCTCTGCCTCAGCGCCCAGGCTCTGCTCAGTGAGAAATGCTCGGCCCAGATGAATGACTAGGGGCCATGGCAGCACAGATTGTTGGAGTGCAACTGGTGGAAAAAAAAATGCACCTCAGACAGTTTACAACACAGTTCTCCACAGAAAAAATGCGGGAGAAACTCTCCCCAAATTGCTCTCTGTCTTCCTGAGGAATTTCTTAGTTTTTCTAAAGACATTGTCCAGCCTGGATTTGAGTTTTCACTCTGTATTCACTCTCCTGACAAATGCATTCCATGGAGCTATGATGCTTCAGTATTTCACGGGGGAGAAAATCTCCATCTACCTACTTTTATTATTCTGAAATAAATGAGTAAACTCAACTAGAGGTTGTTGTGGTGGTGCGTCTGTCATGTAAGAATAAAATGGATATCATGGCAGGTGGCACAAGGAAGGCACTTTGCTTGCCACAAAGCTCAAGTTATACCCTTCTCCGGGCACTAGAGCAGCAACTGCTACGGGAAGCCTTTAAATTCTGCAGAAGGTCATATCTGAGCTGCCACATGTCCAGCATCTCCTGGACACAGCCTCCTGGTCCTGCCCTCCCAGCCCCACTGGGGAGGAGTCCCAAAGCCTATTTTGCTTTTTTGTTTTGAGTTCCTCTCCCAGAGAGGAGCTGGGAGCACAGCTGCCACGTGGAGAGCTTGGTGGCAGGGCAGGCTCAGGGGGCTGTGGTGCCCTGTGATGGAGGGCGGGAGATGCCCACAACCAGGACAGTGTGTGGAAGCAAGGAGGAGCAGGAGCATCTCAGCTGGCTGAGCAGAGGTGGAAAGGAGAGGTTTGGAGGTCAGGTTATGATCAGGAGCTGGCTGGGGATGAGCAAAGGTGCTCTGGGGTGGGTTGGAGAGCATCCTGTCGGTGTGGGCAGGGGGAAAGCTCTGCTAGGAAGACGGTTTTGGAGTAGGTGATGTTTGGAGGGGTAGGATCTGGCTTGGGAACCTCCGAACAGAAGCAGGGCTGGGAGGTTTGAGCTCAGAAAAGGTGTGTCAAGAGGGACCGGGGAGTTGTGGGACTGGTGGGAGGGCTCCAGAGTAGGACAGGTCCAGTGCCAGGACTGGCTGTTATTGCCATGGATCATCTCCCGCTCAGTCCCTAGCCTGGGGCTGTTGTGGAAGTGCGTTTCTGTGGAGGAAACTGATTTTATCCCCCAAGAAGAGATTGTGTTTTTTCCGGGGCTAAAGAAAAACCAGGATCTATTTTCTTGAATTGATCAGGATGTTATAATGGGACAGCCCAGAGCTCCTAATGAAGGGAAAAATCACTGAAATGTAATGAGTTAAATGTGGGAAGAGGAGAAAATCGAAAGTTACAAGTGTACCAACTCCATTAAGTGGCTGTATAAAATTTCCAATGAGTAGTGACTTCCCTTTATGATTCAGCATTACACTTTTCCTTGCAGATGACAGGTACTCATGAGAAAGGATGGGTGATATGGACGTGGCTAAACAGAAATGTTCTGTTTAATTCAGCTTCTCCAGCCTCCTCTTTTTAACAGTGCAGTGGGCAGCTCCGGCTCCCTGGGTGCTCAGCGCAGATTGCTGGGGAAGTGTGGGTGGAGGAAGAGCTCCTCCACTTCTTTGTGTGGCTGGGGACATCTTTCCTCTACCTGTCCTTACAATAACGAGGCTGTGCTGGGACTTGGAGATGTGTGATTTCAGCAAAGCATGGCGCAGCCACAGAGGTTTGGAGGGCTGAAGTTAACTTTTGAGGTAGGGATTCTAAAATTAGTTGTTAAACCAAATACATCCAACTCACCCCCTCCCCCAAATGTTTTAAAGCACATATTAAAGAAAACCCCAACAACGCAGCTGAGTACCCCTTTGAAATAGGATTTTTTGTTCTGTTTGTGTGTTTAATAACCCAAAATTAATTCTGAACATCCAGTGATGCTGCCTACACGCTTTCCCTTTCCAGCTGGCACACACACACGCAGGTGCACTCACTCACACACATGACACTTCCACAGACTGATTCATGTCCTTACGTTTTCTTCTAGCGTGGTGAGCTGCTCGTCGAGTCTGACGGGGTCCGTCCCCAGTGGGAACGTCCCTCTTCCTCCGTCCTGAACATCGGCTGGGAAATCGCAGGGACCAGTGGATTCTGCTATCAGTTCTTCAGTGGCATTGATGACTTTCAGGACCTCTGTAGATATGTTGCAGAGAGAGACAGCAGAGTACTTCTGTTTTGTTACAAGAGTAGACAGAGAAAACAACAGCATTAAATTAAATATGTAAAATCATCTCGCTAATAGCTGTAGCTTTAGCCATGCTAAAACAATATACTTGGCTAACAGCTGCAAATGGACACAAAAACTGTGTGATGAAATTGGAATCTACTTTTCGTTTTCCCCCTCCCTTTTTCACATATGCACACTGATACAGCATGCAAAATAACACACGCACGCAACTCTTCCACAACATGATTTCTACTGGAGGGATGGTCCAAACGTTATCACAAAGGAGCACACAAATATCCAGCTTTAAAATGCAAGTGAGCTAGATAAAGCTATTTTTGTAATTGCATTTTAAACAGGTTTTAAACCACAATCTTCCTTTTTTGGTACTGGCAAATGGATGTGGAATCATCTGTCTCCATATCCACGGGAGCTATCGCATTGCAGCTGCAAACACGGGAGAGCAATCTTCAGCCGCCCTAGCAGGTTGGCAGTTTACAAAGATGTTTGCTATGAATTATATGATAGCCCCAGAAAGCAAAGGTTGAGCTATAAGAATGTAAACACTTGTATCTTGATTTTTTTCAAATTTAAATTTACCTTTTTAAAAAATATTTATGAAATAAATTACATCAAATTCCAAGGAAAAGCATGCAGTTATTATCTGTGGGTTTTTTTTTTTTCTTTTAAACAACTGTAAGCCTTCTTATCAGTGTCCCTGATTTGTAATTTGTAATTAACTATCCTGATTCTGATGATTCCTCACCAGCGCTTTAGGCTTTGGGACAATTCCTTTGATGGCAATAAAATTTCACCTGATGTACCCTCAAGCATCAAGCTCAACATTGAAACTATACAGCTGGGAGATTGAGCCAAAACTTGTTGAAGCCAATACAAATATTGTCACTGAATTTATGTGCAATACTTTTAGAGTTGCTTTGCCTAAAAGAAAGTGTGGGGAGTTTAGACCTAAATCTAATTTGTTCCTCAAACCTGCAAATAGCTATGCATGTGAATTAGGGGCCCACCCATCTGTAAATTTTTCCACAAACAAAATATCTGAGGTTCAAAACAGAAAACACACAGTCTTTGGATTCTATATAGTAAATGCTGTAGTACAGAAAAGTATAACCGATTAAAAATGCCCGTGTGTCATGCAAACATTGTATTAATGTCAGCTTATGTCTTGGGCAGGGTATAGGAGAAATAATGTTCCTTTGCTTCACACAAAATCTGGTGGGTTTCACTGGAAAACCTCTTTTGTTTTCTTTCCTGTAATTAGCTGTTCATTTTTATGTTAGAGAAGACTTCTACTGAAAAACTATTTTAGCAGCGTGTACTCAATTGCTGTATATCAATACATTAAGGCATCTTTAGCACTGTTACTCCCCTGAATTACAAGAAATAATTAGATACATGAGATTAAAGAGAAGGAGAACAAAGCAGATACAGTATGCTGTAGCACACAGATCTTTAGCTTGTTAGGACAGCCGACAGAGTCCTGAACAAGTAGGCCTAGGACTCTCTTACTGAGAACAAATACTTGAACCCCATAAATAGCCTACTGTTTTTTCCATTTATTTTCACAAGTGCCAATTAGATTAAAAACAGATCAATAATTTTATAGGACAGAAGAAGAAATCAATGTTACTTTGTTTTATTATTTACTTTTACAAGTACCTAATTCTTATTCTATTCTATGAGTAGCGAACAAAAAAGGATAAAGGCCAGGCACTACATTTTCTTCATCATCTTCACTGATGTATGTTCTCCATTTCAAGAACTGTAGCCTCACTTCAGTGTTCATTATTTCTTAAACTTTTTTTTATCCTTTGTAGCTAATGATGGATTTCCAAAAAAGATTAAATTCAATTAGAAAAAGGTGTTCTTATACCAGAATATGAGAATCCATACTGGCATTCATTACAGACCAATTACTGCAAAACAGGGGTTTTGCTTTTGGTTTTCCTGGTAAAATGTTCTGTGATGGGAAGCTTTATGAAATCAAGATTTTGAGTAAAATACCCTACCTTCTCAATATGTAATGGATAGGGGAAAAGAAATGTGATTTTTAGCTTTTCTAGAATTTTGAGGTAAGTTCTTAGTGGCAAATGCTGACTTTTAAAACCAAAGATTTGCTTCACATTAAATGTTTGCATCAACAAACTTGATCCTAGCCTGCAGGTATCTATCTAGACACAGGAGTCACAGCATTAAAGGTTTTCTTTAAGCTCGTGAAACATTTGCTTTAATTGTATAACAAGGATACAGCACTAGATATAAAGAAATGCATGGCAAGCAAAAGTGATTTTCCTTAGAGTATATCTGAAGAGTCAATCTCCCAAAACCTAAGAGCACAAGCAATACTTCAGTGTTTTTAAATCTAAACTTTGTGTGAAGGTTTTCTGCTAAAGAATATTTAGAACTCGGCTTTCCCTGGGCTGAGTTTTACAGAGCAGTAAGAAGAGATTAATGTCTGCCCGAGGGAGACATAAAATCAAGATGTGGGGAGTTCAAGGTTTCTCAAATAATGCTTTTAAATAAATTTCTACCTCTTTTTTGAGTAGCTGACAAAATCTGTTCAAACAGCTCATGTTCTAAAATGACCAGTTTGCAAACGTAGTGGGTTACTCTAGATAGAATTATTTAACATGTATAAGGAAAAAAAAAGAAAAGAAAAAAAGGAAAAAAAAAAGAAGAAAAAGTGTCCTGGAGTTTTAGTGTTTCACAACTCTCTCCCCTCCCCGATCACCCACACCAAACTTAGGAATTACGAGGTTCTACAAAAATCACCTAAAATTCACAGACACATGCACACCAAGATCAGCCCGGTAGGTGGACATTTCAAATTGCTGTAATGACCTCTTGGCTGTCTAATTTATCTTGCCCTTGCAGGAAAGGTCATTGTTAACTCCTATAAGTGATTCAAAGAGACAGCCATCATGCCATGATGAAGTCTCTCCCATCCGTCTTGTCAAGTAAGCCAAAGAACTAAGATGGATGTGATAGACGCAAAAAGCAATCTCTATAACGAATACCTAGTACAGAAAAACTAAGGGCAACCGTTCTTCTCAAAATGCTGGGATGCATTCTGATTTCGACTGTGCTTCCCTACTTCTGGATTAACACCACTCCTCCCAAATTAAATCAATGCAGCTGACACAAATTCAAATGTTTGTACTGGTTATGAGAATCTCAGTTTTTACTGCATTTGAGGTTAAGAGATTAATGGAATGAAGAAAACATGCATTTATCCTTTTAATGATAATTAATATCCATGCTCACAAATACTTTAAAGACACAGTCAAAAGGAGATGCTCAATTTCCCATTTTTTTTGTGGAAGAGTTTTCAAACCAATAAAATACTAAAAAAGTGTGTGTGTGCGAGCACATACACACATACGTGTGCCTGTGTGTACTGAATATTACAAACAGCACCTTGTAAAACTTCCTTTACTGGCATTTCTATGTGTGGTTGGACAGATGGAAAGGACTCCTATTTTGCCAAAGATAAGGTTTCAGTGGTCTAAGCTAGCTCTTGCTGGCTGTTAGCCATTTCCCTCTCTTCTGCTGTCTCTTTCCTCTCCCTGCTGATGCTGCAGGTATTTCCTTTGTTTTTTTTTACTTAAGGATGATACACTGAAAGGTGCTTTATAGAACAGTATTTGCATCCTTGCATGAGCTAACAGAATTAAGGCAGGATGATAAAACTGAAGCAACGTAAGAGTCCAAACTGCTGAGAGCAGGTGAGCATTAAGTCTTTGTATGGACCTTAGATGTCTATGACATCGCCACTTCCAAGTTTCCTTTGCATGAACATCATTGCTTTTACTTTTAATACTCCAAAAGTGGTTAAGTTCTCCATCACTCAAATTAATTTTTTCTCCACAATGTACTCAGCCATTAGCATTCTCTCTTTTTTGCTGCTATGATGTTATGCCATCGTTAGGGAATATTAAACTAGCATGGGAGGCAGTGACTTGCAATTCAACAGAGAACAGTTGACACCAACAGTTAGATCAAGAAATAGAGCAAGGGAAACTTGCAGCCCCGGCAGTATTGTCTGCGTCCCTGATGACTTGCAGTACAATCATGTTTAGCCCTGGTCTCAAGCCATTCTATCACGCTCCCAGTCACATGCCCATTTTTCAGTCGATATCCTCATTTTTCTGGAGGGAGTTGAGAGGGCTGGGGAGAAGACAAGTTTTGCTTTGCCACTGTTTGATACGTCTTTTCAGAATAACCTGACTGAATCCAAACTTGACGAAAACCCAAACCTGCTTCCTCATCTCCCCATGCTGTGGGAGTTCATTGTACAGCTTTGAGAAGGTCCTAAAAAGCCCCCCAAAAGTCCATCTCCCTCACAGGTAAGCAAGATCCGGGATGCTGGCCAAGTCACAGGGTGGGAGGAACAGAGCCATCGAAGCCCAACCATCAATGGCAGACGTCAACCCTGATCTCCAAAAGACCTTTTGGCCTAAAAGTGAGTCCTAACCACTCATTACCACAAAGACTGGGAAAGAAAGCTAAAATTTGCCTTGATAATTGATGGAAGACAAGTATACTATGATAAACTATGGCATTAAGGAATTACTCTTCTGCGCAAGTTTAAGACTCCCTGCCTTGACCTCAACATCAATATCTTCATTTATGGGCACTCATTTAGAAAAACAAAGCTAAATTATCTTACAGTGAGCTGTTATTCTACTGACATTCTCCAACATATGACACAGAGAAATACAGTCTCTCTTTTTGATTGTGCTAGGTAATTCTGAATACTAGGTTTCTACTAATGAATTCAATCCACTGTCCTAGTGTAGTTCAGATGTTATTCCTAATAATTTGTAATGCCTCATTTCTAGAGAGAAATTGCCTATAACCATGAGAAAGGAAGGTATTTTCCAGGAAGTGAAATATTATGGTCCAGGTTGGAAATGGAAATATTAAATCTTAAAATCTGGACAGGATTCTGTAAGAGTATCTATAATAGACACAGGCTGATGACATTGCACAAATGAAAAAATACTTTTTCTTTAAAATCATCCTTGATGTTTTTACTAAAGAAAATTTATTTTTACTAAAGATGATTTAAAAGTGATTACAACTCATAGCACAAAATTTAACTCTGAGAGTAAGGAAAAAAGAAAAAGTTGAGAAAGGGAGTGTTTTGCTGAATTAAGCATCAGCTTTTGACACAAAAAAAGTGATTCTTATTTTATGACTGAGAAAATGCTACAGAATTAATTTGCTTACCACTATATATGAGATACTAAAAACAGCACGTATTTGAAAATACAAGATAAGTATCTATTTGCTCAGGGAATAAAATGAAAATTTGTTTTAGTATCTGATTCTCATAAGCTGAGACTCAAATAGCATAGAATATGAAACCTCTTTCCATCCAGACGAATGATAAGCAGTAGATACTAGCAGCGATGTGAGAAAGTGCCTACTCACTGTGTACAATCTCTACAATGAATTAAGGGTTTTGTTTATTTTTAAATTGGGAGCTTAGAAAGGTTTTTGAAGACCACTATGGTCAGAAACTGCTAAAAATCTTATTTCTGAAATAAAATTTTACATTTTTTCCTTCCAAATTTACTAATACAGGTGAGGACATGAGAACAGGAAGATCATACACCTTACCTTTGTCTTCTGTTTTTCTTTACTGATAAAACCAAATTCTCATCACAAAGCCAAATAAAAGAGCCAGTCTGCTCCACATGACTACTTTATGCTCATCACTACCATCATAACACAGGGCTAGCTGTGATGATAAAATAATTTTCTGCAATGATTATTGATTTTTGGTCGAGAGGTATGATTTTGAGCTTGATAATTTTGCTTGGGAAATATGGAAACCCTCAATATCACTTTATAGCATCTCTTACTATGTAAGAGATGTAAGAAGACACAGACAAAACAAAACATTCTCACCTGCTGCAATACAGTGGATAAAAACTGCAACTTTAAATGAAGATCAAAAGCGTTTTGTTTTTCCTAGATAGTGGGAAAGCAGTTAAATAAAAAGGCAGAAAAGTTATGTTAACAGCTACAGAGGTTAACATTTATATTGGTTCAGACTTACAGAGAACTTTAGGATGAAGAGCAAGGATAAAGAATCTAGCAAATATAAAATACCATAAAATTTAGATTTTACATTTATTGCTAAAATATTTAAAATAAAGCAATGTCTACTTTATTTTTGTTTGTAGGATTTAGAATAAGAGATCTCATTTAGACAGATATTGCAAATGACATATCATTTTTCATAAAATGAAACAGATGGGAAATACTGATTTCCACCATCATAAAACAAAGTGGCACTAGCAATACACTTTGCAGCAGTGTTAAGAAAATCCAGCTATCTTCAATTTTGGCATCTACACAATTACAATTTCGACACTGTGCTTGTTTCTAGTTACAAAAGGGTCTGTACCTCACTTATGCCACAGTCAGATGTTCACATCGGAAACACTTGGGCTGAGTTAAGACATTTTGTCCCAAATCACTTCCTACTGTTTGCTGCTGTCCCTCTCTGGGACTTCACCGTCCCAAAATGAACAAGTAAAATCCTTCAAACTACCACTCTCCAGCGTCAAGTCAGTAGGCTTACCTTAATCCCCCTAATTTACCTAGGTCTATTTAAACTAAACTGACTGCTGTTGCCATGAAGCAGTGACACAACCATGGTTGCCCTGTTGGCTGTGCTGTGACAGAATTATCATCCAGCTGAGAAGCGGCGTTTGCTTGAAACTCTTCCAGCTAGATCTGAAAGAGCTCATCTCTCACTGCCAAGTCTCTGGGCTGCTTACAGAAGACGACAAGAAAACAGTAACTTTTTTGTTACAGTCTATTTTGCCCCCCTTTTCTTCCAACAGCTTACACTAATCTTCACCGATCTTCTATAACTGCATCTGTAAAATGGCTTTTACATTTTGTTCTTAAGTAAATAAATCTTTGGTGATCAGACAGCTGAAGGAGATTCACGCTGCAGGCAGGCTGGACAGAGCTGGCTTGGGCATGCACGCACGTAAGCATCAAACCTGAGACTGTGAGCATCTTATTTACAAAGGTGCTGCGTTCCCCATGAGAAGCCAGCTGAAATCTCAGCTATTCTGCACTTCCCCAGGTAGAGTCAACAGGGCTTTGATTCAGTTGCTTTAACACAGGCCGACAGGGTGCAATTTGAACCAGCTTGAAGTATCTATCTGAGGATTTTCAAACAGTGCTGTCAGATGTGACGTGGAGCTGTGAGATGCAGGTTTCCTCCGGGCTAGCAGTTAAGGCCCTGTGGGATACCCCAGGGCGTCTCAGACGGGCTACCTACATCCACACTTAACGCAACCGTATTGAGCCCAGAAAGTGTCACAACTGGAGGAACACAAACACCATTGCCTGCTTGTGAGAACTGTTTAAAAACAAATGTTTATGGTCTCAAAGCAACTATTTTGCTTGAAATTGAAGACTCAGACTTTGACAAAATAAACATAGGATCAACTTAATTTTCCGTACTAAAGACTGATAAATAATAGTAAATACATGGGAGAAATCTCTTGAATGGGATTTTTGTCAAGCAAACCACTTAATCCTCAGTTTAAAACTGACCATATACTTGACTGCTTTGTTGAATTGAGAACTTAAAACTTTGGATCCATTAGCCCAACGTGAAGATTAAAGTCTCATACCTCTTTTAGAAGAAAAAGACACTGTTTCACCTTTCTTAACAAGATCTTTTTTCTCTGCTGTCATTCAAAATCCTGTGCATCGATTATCTGCAGTTCATAAACCTTAAAGATCACTTTTTACAATGCTGCCCACATGCAGTTTTCGATCCTGGACTTTGGAAGACTGCCCAGATAATTAACATCGTAATAAAAGCCACAATCCACCAACACACAAGAATTATTCTGAGCATCTTGCATACAAAAATGTGAAACAACAGACACACAAATGCCTTCTGAGTTGGTAACCCAGGAAGATGTCATTGCAACACACTGCTCAGTTTTATTAGCATAGCAGTACCAGTGTAGTAAAGCTACTATACTTATGCTACTACATTTTCTTGCTTAAGTGAGCCATGGGGTTCTGGCTCCTTTAGAAACTTCTGAAGTCTTCAGGCACATGGAGCTGGATGGCAGTTTCCTATTAAACCCTGCCTGGACCAACGCACCAACCAAAATACCTGGGAGTTCCTCAGCAATGTCTTCAGTTCGGGAAGTTGCAAGATAACGATCACAAAACCCATGGCATCATCATCCGTGAGGATGGTGCATGCATGAGCACAAGGGATTAACAGCAGTCCAGCCCCCAGGAGACAGAGGCTCTCTCTCGTTATTATAGCACTGCTGTCATCACATCACAGCCATCCCTACCGTGGTGCTTTAACTGGTCTGCGAAACACAGGAGGGATTCACTGCCATGTGCATGTCCGATGCCATTCTCCAGCTCCAGTGACCAAGTCCCATGAGCTCTCCCTTGCCTGACCTCCCTCACTGGGCCATGGTCACCCTCTCCATGGCCAGCCCCAGGCACAGCCACCAGCATACACCACACCAGGGAGCTGGCTGTCTCTTCTGCTGGGGTAATGTGTATGCACCCACATCCACAGGTACTGCCTATTCCTCTTGCTAAAGAGAGGTCTTGGGCAGATTTTCTCACAAGTGTCAATCTCATTAGACCAGTAGTCAAAAAGTGCTAACTTTCCTGGTGAAAAATGTAAGATGTGCTCTCTTGAAACAAAGAATATAGGCCTCTGGCACAAATACACATGAAGATGATGCTTGTCGTACATACTTTCCCCAAAATAAAGCTTTATAAAACCCAAGATAAATAAAATGTTTCCAGAGAATGAAGGCATCATTTTTTTAATGGAGAGAATATTTATGCTGTTATTCGCACTATCAAGGAATTTGAGAGGCTTCACTTAGGCAACAGGATCCCACTGTGGTACTTAACAAACTTATTTCCAGGTTGTCATTCAGAAATGTGCCTAGTCATGTAATACTGTCAACAGAAACCAGCAGGATTTAAACCAAGTTACTAAGCCTTGGCTGTAAGATTCTCTGAGCAGAAGTAAATGCATAAAGGGATTAAAGGAAATTCCTCAAGCACGCAACACGTTGGATCAAGCTAATGCAAAGAGGTGAAAAACTCAACGTTACTACTGACGTTTAACTCACTTGCTCATTTACATATCTTAAGCAAGGAGGAGTACAAAGTAGGAGAGGACAAAAAGAGAAACACAAGGTTTTAACAAGTATTTCAGTTTTTATGCTATGTGGGGCAATTTGCAAAAATGGCAGGGGCTATTCTCTTTTTTAAAACAGTATCTCTATAGTTTCTGATAAAGTGGTCACAGTGGTAGACTGCATTCAAAATGCAGTCTCATTAGGCACTGCTGAAATTGCCTTCTAGAGTGTAATTCTGGGCAATACCATGAAATATGGACCCGACCTATTCATCTTCATGAAAGCATTAAAAGAGAAGGAGAAAGGAGAGCAAGAGCTAAATAAACCCCATTTATCATGCTTGCCACTCTCAGGATCAGTACCATTAAGATACTCCCAAGGGGATTTACATTTTGCTTTTTTCTTTAGGTATTTGGTTAGGGTTTGGGAGGGGTGAAGCAGGAAAAAAAAAAAAAGAGCAAGGCAGAAACAACTGCGCAAATCACTGTGCTAGTACACAACAGTTGTACAATGTGATTTTTGGTTTGTTCACACTTGAAGTCTAGAGGGGCTGAAGGCTAACTCTGGCCTGAGCATAGAGGACTCCATGGCCTTTCATTGCACTACTGAGATGAGTAGGCTTTTCGGGGGTCTACATAGCCCCAAAAAACCACGAACTACTTCTGTAGCTTAATAAGCACAAAATGTTGTCTATAAAAACAAGCCTGCTGTAGGATTATGTTTGTTTTAGAGAGCTGTGAATCTCCACAAGACCTTTTTAGGCAATCACAAACTTAGAAATGTTGAAAACAATTGTGCTGAAGGTGTAAGAGGATTTAAGTCTAAGGCATAAAATTAACTTGTGTTAATTAATACCCACCTAAATCCTGGAGTATCCCACACAAACTAAATAATTAACTCAAAGGTCCACATTTTCAAACTTGTATCTTAAAGGTAGTCATACAACTTGAGCTTAGCTTGAGGTGAGAACTGAGAACATGTAAATGCCCAACTTCAGCTAACTCTCCACTAAAGATGTGCCAGTTCTTGCCATGGCTACAGATCTGAATATACTAAATACCCTTTTTAAAACATCAGCTCAACATGATTATGAGATTCCCAGCTTCTATTAAAAGCAGAAATCCAGATTTTGAAAGGTGCAGACATGTGAAAGTCAGATTCTCATGAGTACGAGGTTCTTAATTTCCAGTCATTCAAGAAACAACCCAAGTGTTTTGAAATCTTATTCTATGGTCGGGTGTACTGTAACGAGAAATTCCCTGTGATTTAAGGTTGCTAACATGTTCCAGAATAAGCTTGAGAATAGAAGACTAAAGGCTAACGAAGACAAGCAACATGGCTAAAATATAAGCAAGATGGCTAAAATACAGTATTTAATTTGTGTGCAGGAGCTCAAAGCAGACTGTAGGCACTTGAGCTCTCATTTCAACAGCCCAGAATTAGGGCTTCTGTATACCCAGTTTGAAACCTGATACCCAGGTCAGATGTTTGGGTCTCTGGCCAAGAATGTTAAATGTCAGTCTGAAAGATTTATAATTCCCTACATATGCATTCTCCAAAAATCAGGCTTCTTAGAGACAGCATATTGGGACACCTGACTTTTAAGGCTTCCAAAATTACTCATTCCCAGAAAATATGTTTTCTATGCTTGTCTCCATTGAGACATGCCATCTATTCATCTTAAAGTTCTTGCACGTTTTATGAGTTTAGCTAGGTCTTTGTATTTTAGGTTACCATAGCCACAACTGGTATTATACACTACATCTTCAGTATTTCATTGTAAGATGTTGGTCAGCCACCTTTCCAAAGAGAAGGCACGCATCAGAAGATTTTAAATCACCTTTAAGGACAACTGTCAAGAATAAGAATAAAAGCAGCCTACTTGTTTCTCTGCAGCTGGAGCAAGTTCCGCTATCAATTCCACTGAAGTCATGACCATGAATAGTACTGGGATGTTTTGGTTTCTTTATTATAGACAGAAAGAATATATACTGCGACTGTGAATGACTAAGACTTTTTTTTTCATCCCAAACCAATAAAGAATTAGGAACTCCAAGCATTCCCTTTTTGCTGAACATGGTATGCCTCTTATTTTTTTAAACTTAAGGAAATTTTACTGAGGAAAAAAAATATTAATCTTTACGCTATTTTAAATAACTGACATAAAAATGTTAAAGAAATTATAAAATTAGAGGAGGAAGAAACAACTAGCATTACTTTGTAGATGCATGCAGATGAATAAGTACACCGCAGAACATACACTTGCCATTTTCTCCACTTTGTTCACCCTATAGGAGCATTTCAGAAAGTCCTGTTCACAGCCTTTAATTCTGGACTGTAATTGCATCATGTTATACCCTAGCCAGCTCATATACCCCACTGAATAATTTGATATTGCTGTTTCTCTTTGTAAACTAAAGACAAGCTAAATGTAATGCTGCTAACAAGCACTGGCAATAAAGCTTTTATTTGATTTCCTCAGAAAGGTTGTGTGAACGTCATGGAGGTATTTGCACACATGGTGACAAAGGTACTTACACTGCTGTGTAGTCTGGGACTAAATAACTCAGAATCAGAGAGTCACAGAATACTTAAGTTTGGAAAGGATCTCTGGAGATCACCTAGTCAAACCCTTCTGCTCAAAGCAGAGTCAACTAGATCAGGTTGCCCAGGGCTGTGTCTAGTCAGATTATATCCAGGGACGTAGACTCTACAGTCTCTCTGGGAAACCTATTCCAGCATTTGACCACCCTCACAGTGAAAAAGCTTTTTATGTTTGGATGGAATTTCTTGTATTTCAGTTTGTGCCTGCTGCTTCTTGTCCTGTCACTGGGCACGGGTGAGAAGAGTCTGATTCCCGCTTCTTTCTTTGCCACCTCAGACACCCCCCATCCTCCCCATCAGGTATTTGTACATATTGAAGTGATCCTCCACAAGCCTTCTCTTCTGTAGGCTAGATAATTCTAGCTCTCTCAGCCTCTCCTCATATGATAGATATTGCAATCTTTTAATCATCTCTGTGGCCCTTCACTGGAACCACTTCAGTACATCCATGTGTCTGTTGTACTGGGGAGCACAGAACAGGACGCAGCACTCCAGAAGTGGCCTCGCCAGTATTGCATAGAGGGGAATAATCACCTCCCTTGGTCTGCTGGATGCTGGTGGCCTTTTCTGCAAGTGCACATTGCTGGCTTATGTTCAACTTGGTGTCCACCAGGACCACTATGTCCTTTTGTGCCAAGCTGTTTCCCAGACAGATAGCCACCAGCCGGTATGGGTGCGTGGGATAATTGCTTCCCAGGTGCAGGACTTTGCACTTTCCTTTGCTGAACTTCATGAGGTTCTGTCAGCCCATTTCTCAAGCCTGTCAAGATCCTCTGAATGACAACAGAACCATCTGTATCGGTACGCTGTCTCATTGTCTCTGTCCTGTACCAAAGTACTGGTCCCAGTATTTACCACTGGGGTAACACCACTAGTGACTGGCCTACAGCTAGATTTCAAGCCTCAGATGGCAATCCTTTCAGCCCAGCAATTCAGGCAATGTTCAATCCAGCTCACTATCTACTTAAACAGTCCTTACTTGATCAATTTATCTGCGAGGATGTTATGTGGGACAGCGTTGAAAGCCTTGTTAAAGTCAAAATAAACAATATCCAGTGCTCTGAATGCCTCAGATTACCACGATCTTTCAAAGATGCACAGGAGTGGCCTGACAATGACGCATTCCAGCTCCCTCAGCTCTTGTGAGTACATCCCCATCAGGTGCCATGCACATGTGTATGTCCCATTTCTTGAAATATTTGATAACCTGATCCTCGTCTGCCAAGGGTAAGTCTTCAGTGCTCCAGACTTCCCCATAGGTCTCAGGGGCCTGCGATTCTTGAGGGCAAATCTTAACCACAAACTGAGGTGAAAACAATGTTGTGTAACTTAGCCTTTTCCATGTCCTGTATCAACAGGTCACTGCGGTACTACAGTGAGCCCTACTTTCCCTCCTCTGCCTTTTGCTGCTGATATATCTGTAGAAGCCTTTCTTATTTCGCTTCGTGCCCCTCACCAGATTCAAATCCAGGTGGGCATTGGCTTTCCTGACACCATTCCTGCACACTTGGACAGCATCCTATCATCCATCTGGGTCACTTGATCCTGCTTCCACTTCCCAGTGTACTAGTTCTTGACAGCATTTGAACAAAACAACTTTCAAATGATGAAGACCAGATTTCCTTTAGGGAATTACCCACACCCCCTGCCAAAGCTGAGCTGCTGTGTGGACAAGACCCCAAAAGGTGAGTCAAGACACACAGCAAACAAGAACAAGCCTAAGTCGATCTAAGGGATAAGAGTGATGACTGACAAGGGGCAGTGCTGGGCTTCTAAAGCACAAAAATTCACGCACACCACAGGATCTGAAGAGAAATTCAGAAGTAGAAAGGGAAGAGGGCAAGGTGGTAAGTTCTGTGGAGTGACACTGAAATCAGACATCTCATTGTAAGGGTGAAACGGCGCAAACAGAAGATCTCATACATTATCAGAACTGACACCGGATTTCCGTTTCACTAGAATGTTACTACTCACAGAGGCCTATTAGCTGACAGAGTAACAGGGTTGGAAAGCTTTAAAGCAGCACAAAATATTCCAACAGAGAGGCAAAAGGAGAATCTATGACATCAGAATGAACTGCATGATACTAAAACCAGGGGAACAAATAAAAGGGTTGAAAAAACCCCACTTAAACCAGCTGCTTAGCAAGGAAGAAAAAAGGAGAACTGGATATGTTTTTAAATAAAACCATATAAAGCCAATTCTCAGTCAGTATAGACGGACATAATTCCATTAACATGAGTCATGGGTTTATTCTACAAGCTAAGTTCACTGCTTTGAATTGATGCCGTAGGCTCACAGGAAGGAACACACACCTCAGTTGAAGTTTTACTTGCACAAGGGCTGCAGGCTCAGACCCAGTGTAAAGGACCTCAGATTTTTTTAAGCAACTATGTTTAATTTTCTAACCAGAAGTTTCTCTTTCTGGATTCTAACTTTTACAATATTAGCCCCACTGCTCTACAATGACCACTTACCTTCTTTAACTCTTCCTGAATACTTCTGCCATTTTCCTCTGAGGACAAACTCTCCTTTTGGTTTTCAGGGTCTGTTCTAGGTTCTGATTCATGTTCTTCACCAGATGATGTTTCCTTGTCACTCATTTTAGCAGCGAGCTGAAATAGCCTGGATTTAAGCTCCTCTTCCATAAGGTCAGGCTTGATGTTATGATGCTGATCCTCACTGCTTATATCTGTTTCTGACAAATCATCAAAATCCTACAAAGAAATTGGAAGAACAGTATAATTACTGGATAGGTACAGAAAGGAAAACAAATAGCTTCCTAGAAAAGTATAGGCATGATCACTCTTCAGGGAAGCTAGAAGGAAAGCACACTAAGTGTGCTGATAAAAAAATACCACGTCTTTACAGAGGAATGCCAGTAAACCCACACCTGTTGGATTATATTTCTCATTCCTTCTTACTTTTATATCATGTAAAAAGGAACTATCAAAATCATTATGTATCTGTGTGCAACTCATGAAATAAAAGCCTAAATGGCATTTCCCATTCCCAGCATTGCACTGCCATCGCTCCCAGGCATGGTGCAGATAAAGAAAGTGAAGTGCAGGAATGAAATAACTTGTGACCTGGCAGTTGTGTCCAGCTTTCAGCTGAAAGCTGTGCTTGAGTTCCCTGACTGCTGGTCTTGAGCATTACCTGTGCGTTTCTTAAATACTACTAGAAACAAGTTTTTAAAAAACCTCTCTTTTATTACATGATGGTGCTTAAGATTTTCAGCTTTCCCAGTGATTATTTACATAGGTGGATCCCCTATAGCAACAATTATTTTCCAAACGCCAACTTCCTTGGAACAAGGTTCAATCTTTAGGAGCACCTTCTTTTCTTGGATCCTTAAAGGTGGGAAGTATTCAGAGGCTCCGTTAAGCATGGTGGGTGTTACAGGCTCAACCATGACAAGTTCCATACCTTGGAGGCTGAACAGAAGAAAAGCAAAATCCTTTTGCGAGGATGCCTGCCCAACGTTTAAAAATGTGGAAAGGGGGCTTTTTTTTTTTTTTTGTCAGCCTTTGCAGGAAATCTGAAAATATCTGATGGTTATGCCAAAAGCTAATGTCCAGATACATACCAACTTATTTTCTGGATCTGTGCTATCTGATTAGAACCCAACTTCCCCTAATTTCCACTACATTCCATCTCCCAGAGCAACCCGCTGCACCTAGTGTTAACTTCCCTCTGGAAATGCTCTTTTCTCCCTGCTAATTGCTAAGAGAGATCTTAAAATAATTAGACATTTTGTTTAGTGCTTCAGCCAAGTGCATAAAGTAAGATGGAATTAAGTGGGTTTAAAAATGAGGAATTCTTTGAAATGGAGCATAATCATGACAAACCCACCTGGAAGGAAGCTATAAAGAATGCAGCCTGGGACCCCAAAGCGGTAGGCACATTGCAGTGGGGTCTAAGAGGATGATTTGGAGCAATTCTCAGATAGGAAATTATTCCTATTTGCCTTACACTCTCCTACCGTGATGGGACTAGACACTGCTGGCGAGACTAAAAAATGTGTTCTCTCTACCATTCATTTGGAAATACATAAACAGGAGATTTGCTTTGCACAGCTCCTCTCTCGGCAGCCGCAGAGCCATATTTATGGATGGAGCAATTACCTCCAGTTCTCACGGGAAACATTAACTCTGACAACTCCCTCACAAACCCTACCCGCCAAACTGCTCTTAATGGGCTGACACATCGTGTTTGTAATGTCAGTCCTCATCTCTCATACAGTAAACAATGCTGTAGTGTCCAGTACTTCTACAGCTTTCTGGACCATTTTTGTCTGCAGTTACCTGTGAATCAATTAGATAACTAAATCATTGCTTTATAGCTCACCTTCAGGATGCAGAAGGCCCTTTTAGAAAAGCAGGATTTGAAAGTACATGACTAGCTAGAATAGAAGGGGAACCGCAGGCTTATGCTGAAATTTATTCTTTTCCCAAGCAATCGGCTTTTGTAGAATAAAAAACCTTTTCTCCCAAATGACTTCCAAGCTGTTCCGAATAAGATCGAGAACAAGATTTTAAATCAGTATATTTCCATCTAGTTTTATAATATGTTATGATATGGTTTTATATAGATTTAGAAGTCTGGTGTCATTTTACCTTTTTAATTAAAAATCTGTATTTATCATAACGGTGCTTCCTCAAATTGTAACAAGAGATTTTTTTTTCAGACATGTCCTGCATGTCATTCAACAATTCATTACAAGCCCTGCCCAACAATCTGCTAATGAAAAATACTCACATGTCACTAAACTACTACAAAAAAATCTGAAACTTGTTGCTGAATCAATCAGTTCATCAGTTTGTACCCAGGAGAGAAGCAATCATAATTTATGGGATTTACAGGATAGAAAGCACGGCTAAACTGTGCACTTGTATTTTAGGAGACTATATTTTAGTGGAGATACATCTCATTAAACTTGAGCTATTTACAGTTAGGTATCTAGTCTAAGCTAATTACTAGAATCCCTCTTTACTTGAGGTACCTCCAGCTATTTAACAGATCCTTCCAAAAACCTACTCTCATCTAGCCAAACATGTAGTTTAGGATTACAAGACTTGCTAGTGATCTCTGACAGCTCTGCACTGGGGATGTGGGCTTCCTCTAGCAGTGGCTTGGCAGGATGAGTATGGTTTACCCTTGGCGTTGAGCCTGCAAGAAAGAGAAGAAAATCCCATTCCATGCAGACATTTGAGCAGATCAAGCTTGTAAAGACAAATGTTTGCTCTTCTTGTTTAAATAAGCCAACATGTGTATAACTAAACTATAAATAAGCCAAATACGTGTATAAAATCTAGTGGAGCAGTGAGGGAGGCTGGCAGTCCAGAGGGGCAGGTTTTCCCATGCTTCCATCTCATTGCTGTACCATGAAGTACTGACAGACTTCATCGGGTGGCAAGACATGCATGAATCCTCTGGGGGCTTCTTACATACAGCTGCTGAGCTCTCACTGCTTAGCAGCTATATTGCAGTAGCGATACATGCATACCCCTGTGGAAAGCACCGCCAGTTAATTTAAAGAAACCATAGCGACAACAGCAGATTCACAATTCCTCTTGATCCTGAGAAAACACCAGTCTTCTTAGGATCACACACAGCAGCACCTTTCAGGTTGATCTCTACTGTCTGTATCCAAAGCTCAGTGAAATCCTGTAGAGCCCTCCAGCCGACTTCCCATGTATTTTGGAGGAAGGTGGAGGGAAGGCAGGAAGGCAGACATGAAGGAGGTATTCCTCTTTTGGCAGCAGCAGGCTGCTATCTTACTTTAGCCACACGTCACACCTTTACTGAAACATCCTGCACCTTCCTGTCCTGTACTCGGTCGCAAGGAGTTGTGTAGGCTTGGCAAAGGGGTCCAGATGCGTGCTAGAGCCGACAAGGGAGAGAGATTGGGCCACGCTGGAGGAAGGTGGAGGGAAGGCAGGAAGGCAGACATGAAGGAGGTATTCCTCTTTTGGCAGCAGCAGGCTGCTATCTTACTTTAGCCACACGTCACACCTTTACTGAAACGTTCCCAATTATAATGTATGCTTTAAAACATATAAAAGACTTTTCCTAACCTGTTAGCTGGGAAACTTAAAGAGCTTTTTGCTACATTTGCCAGCACAGGTGAAAGCCATGAGCTGCTTTGGCATCCCTAGGGTTTTATTCCATGTTCGCTAAATTTGTGTTATGAATACACATCCTTTCTTGGAGGAGGACTTGCCTTGAGGGTACTCATTTTATTACAGCTGGATTCAGGCATGTCTATTATCCACCTTTTTGCTTTCCAACCTCCTTACAATGAGCAGGTGGAGTATTTACAGCTGCCAGAGTTGTTAGTTACTTCTTGCACGCAGAGATAATGATATCCTGTAACGCTGCACTTCGTGGTGTCTGTTACTGGTAGGCTTGCTTGGCTTACATGTTGAGCTTTCAGACGGTGGCAGTGAACTATTTGCGAGGAGATAATACCTCTTTCATGGATTAACAGGTTTAAAAATGCATTAGAAGCTGTGACAACAATAAAAAATAATAAATACATTGAAATGTACTGTTATTATTATTTATTTAACAGATGCTATCTTAAACTTCACTATTCTTTACCATTCACACTTTGGCTCTTTCTGGTAAATTTAATGACATATTTGTGTTCAGATAAATCATTGTGTAAATTCCCATTTGCATCTATCAGCAGCATATAATACTAACATCTGCAAACAAGAATAAATGGCCACTGCTTTATCTGAAAACAGCTCCAGCGAGGGCCTGGCAGACTAACACAGCCACAAACCCAGCCTCACTAAAAGAAAATCAAGTGTTTCTAATGCAAGCATAAGTCCTTCAGCAGACAACGAACTAGGAAATACACTTTTCCTCATTCCTCCATGTCCAGATCCTTGCATGCAAATCACTGATAACTCGATGTAATCCTAGCGAACAACAAAAAAAAAAAGCCCCAAAATAAAGCAAGCAAGCAAAGTACTGGCTTGGAGGCTCCAGAACCAAATCCATGTTACACTATAAACTCTTGAGAGAAAGCTCCATTTGTATAGGAAACAAAAAAATCAGAAACTACAGTTTTTAGAAGACACAAACCATGAGGTTTGCAGGCAGTTTCTCAGCAAGAGCCCATGGAATTTCAGGGCAGCTATTTGCAATATATACATCCCAAGTGCCATGCTGTGGGGACCGGCAATCCGACAGCACTCACCCCCTACCTAGCAGCAGGGCAGGAGGGCTGTAATTAACGGGTAATTAACAAGCAAACTCATAATGAGGGCACTTTCTTCACTTGAAACAATTAAGCCACTCCACTTTCCATCAGAAATATAATTGCAGCTACACTAAGCAACATCTCCTCCTCTCAAAAAGATCATGACAGCCAGTATATCAATATTATTCATAGTAATAATAAAAATTACAATTATTATTAATAATGAAAGCAGACAGAGATTGGTGGCTTGAACGGCAATTTCTTGTAAAAAGTTACAATTTGAAAAATAATTATCATTAAAAGCAAGGTGGCAATTCATGTTCCCCAGGAGTATCACTCTTCCGTGTTAAATAAGCAATCGGGTTATCAGAAATCTATTATGTTGGCTTTGTCAGGACAGTTTTTATGTCCCTCTGTCCTTGCTTCATGACCGTGTTTACAGCATTTCTACAGGCAACCCAGTGAAGCAGTGTTGTTCTTTTAGTTATCATGAAGTGGCAAAAATTCTCACCAAATACAGTACATCTTGATACTTGTTTTCAGATTTCCCTTTTTAAGTCACTCCAGACTTCATAGAATTAATTCCCTCTCAGTCACAAAGTCAGCATTCCAGTGTTGAATCTAAAAATCAGTTTTAAAAAACCTGCCACAGCATTATCCTAATGTAGGTACTGGATCTTGATTAAAACCCACCTAATTTATAATAGAAATTCAGTTGTGAGTTATGAAATGACTGCAATTGTTCCAGAACATTAAAATTTCTAGACTTGGAGCAGGGAGAGAGGAAAGGGCCTGTTTTCATCTCGCTGTGAGTCTCTGAGAGCAGCAAACAAGAAAGCGACCTGCACTATTGGAAAATTAAAAAAGATGACCCGACTTTCAGACTGCTAAACTGAAATCCTGTTCTACAATGCTGTACAACATTGGTTAACAAATTACCACGTTATTATTACAATGCAGGAAAATAAGGTTATTATTACAATGCAACAAAATTGGGAAAACGTATGTTTCTTCACTGCAGTTTACCTATGGTCAGTTGTTTGGTGTCTTAATGTCCGGATGCAACACTGTTTAGAAGAGCATTTTGTACAGTTTCTGTAAATCCTGTATAACCTCAGCATGTGAAAATTTATGACTGATTTAAGACCCCACAATGAAGCTCCCTTAAGTTTACGCAGTTGTCCATGCCCCTACAGTATAATTTTGTGAGAACTATTTACATGTAGAGTGCTCTCTGCTGCAGCCTCAACCATTTTACCAAGATCAATATGTTACTTCGGGGATTATATTAAACCCTGACAACCCTTTAAAGCTTATTTTTCTCAGCAATATAAACAATGTTTGGCTAATATATTTTTATACCACAAACTGTATTCCTTATGCTCATGATAATTTTAATTGCTTCCTAGAACTGTTCAACCGTGCAATATCTCTGCTATACATTGTAGTAGCCAGTCCATTCGTGCTCCCAGCAGCGCTTGTGTACCAGAGGCTGGAGTAACAGTTCTGCGAATGTGGGCACGAGCTGTCAAATCAGCCATGGGGGGTGTGTGTGTGCGTGTGTGTGTCCAAATACAAACTAAATGTATGCAAACCCACCCATACTTAAACTTCCTAGCGAGAATTTCATTGCTTTGAAAACAGCAGCGTGATCCGGAGGCAGTGTGCCTCTGCCTGCCGCACTGTGGCTGAGGGAGGAGTAGAGCAGGAACACTCCCTTTAGCCTAAAGGGTAAAATAAAGGGGAGAGTGGGTCAGAATCCCAAACCTTGCGTTTTGAGCACAACAGAGAGGTATAAGCAGAACTTAAGAGACAAAGCAACTCACAAGAGAGCTGGAAAGAACAATAATTTTCCGCACCAGCTTGCACTTTGAAGCACACACTAAGCTGCTGAAGGATGCTGTCACGTGTGCCTGGAAGCACCCTGCCTTTCTGAGCTCCACTGGATGAACGTGGCAGGGGTTTAGATTGGATATTAGGAAAAATTTCTTCACTGAAATGGTTATCAAGCACTGGAAGAGGCTGCCCAGGGAAGTGGTTGAGTCCCCATCCCTGGAGGTATTTAAAAGATGGGTAGATGTGGCACTTAGGGACATGGTTTAGTGGTGGACTTGGCAGTGTTAGATTAATGGTTGGACTCAATGATTTTAAAGGTCTTTTCCAACCTAAATGATTTTGTGATTCTATAACGTCTCTAGGACCTTCCCTGTGAGCTCCAATCTTTTATACTCTGCAGAGCAGTAGTAATTAGAAACCCACAATATGACTACAGACACACACAAAACGTGCACAAATATACAAAGCCAGAAAGGGAAATGCAGAAGCCTGTGTACAAAATATGGTCTTTGTGCAGTCCCTGGACAGTCCTGTAATTCTGCCTGATGTTCTAAGAAGTCATTAATGACCACTGATGTGTTGTTAGAGCACATTATCATACATAACTGCCCTTCAACAGCTGTAGATTATAAATGTATGAGGACATGAGTATAAATGAATCAGTACAAAACACCCACACCTGTCTCCTAAAAGCAGATGGAATAGATACAGCATTAACAATAGTGTACCCAGCATTAAAAACCTGCTGAAATCCTAGAATCCTAATCTTAACTTATGATCAGCTGATGTCTTTCTATGGGAAACACAGGTTAGTAGCATAAGCGAAGAAAACCAATTCCAGGCATCCTAAAATTGCTCAGATGGCTTTAAAGACTGGATCAGGTTGCTTGCAGTCAGAGGCATAGGGAGAAGACAGCACTTAGCTCCTTGCTTCAGGCTTACCGTTGCTCTGCTGCAGCAATGGTGCGGATACAGGATTTGAGAGGGGTAGGACATGGGAAACAGAACCAGGCAAGGTGTCAGTACTCTCCTCATCCAGCTGGGTAATTAGAAGTGTGCTTGGACTGCTAAAAAAGTTTTGGGGGACAACTGGATCCCTTACATAGTACTAGTCCCAGGCTTGGGCAAACTCCAGACAGACTTCTTGCTTTCCGGTTATCCCACACTTGTTTAAAAGAAATGATTGTGGGCTGCTTTGCTGTCTTCAAGTTGTATGATCAGTTATTCCAAGTTTGAGCTGTTGTTTGTTTTGGTTTTCTTTTTTTTAATCAAATGACAAATTATTTAAGTTGAAGTAGTTTGTAAACACTTTCCCTAACACACCAGAACTCATAATCAAGTGACCAATTAAAAGCTGACATCACTTGGACCATATTTCAAAACCAGCCCTTTCTGAATTTCTGCTGCTCATTACCTCTATCCCTTGTGACAGGGATTTGCAAACAGCACACAGAAGATTCCCAGGTATATGACTTATTTCTTATTCGAAGAATAAAGGAGTTAAAAAAAACCAAAACAAAATAACCCAATGCAACAGAACCGGTGATCCGTCAACATTTGTTAGCTGTTGGTAAATCCTGACTGACTTTTTTTTTTGTTAAGAGTACGGTGGTTTACGGTATTAACAATGTCATGGATCAGATGGAAGTGGCATATTTGAGAAAGAGGCATAGCCTGTTCATGGTATATGTAACACTTTACCTTTGCTTTTTCTCAGTTGTGAGGCATGAGGGGGATAAAGCTTGCAAGAACACGCCACCTCCCACTCACGATTCACATGTTATTGCCAGTATAGCTTAATTTGTTTTGCCCAGCTCTTTTTGAGATTGCATTCAGTAAGCTCAAACATAATTACCTGACTTAAATTCATCTTGTTGGTCTTTGTGCGATCTTTTCCTTCGCATAATTCTTCAGAAATCGCTTTGCTCTTCCTCCACCTTCTTGATCTCTTTTCTAAATCGTAATGGACTTCTTCAGTCTCACTGCTGTCTGAATACTCCAAACTGGTTGCCTGTGGATTGAAGTTTACATCCAGTTCTCCGTGGAAATGTTTTTTTTCCATTCTGGGCATATCACTTTGAGTTCTGCTTTGCAACCAGAGAAGTTTGCTCGGTCCTTTAGCTTCCTGGGAAGAGTTTACTGAAGATGTTTCAGAATCGGAGAACAGTGTCTCAGTATTGGTGTATAACCCAGAAGAAGGGGAGGTCACTGCCTGGTACTGATCATTGCCATAAACCCATTCGGTACCATACTGGGAATTGGTATAATAGAAATCGCCTGGTAATTGCCGAGGTCTCCGACGCAGCTTGTTCAAGGCCACATTCCAGTCATAGTCATCCTCGCTGTCTGAGCCCATCTCGTCATAGGCAGACACAATGCTGGATTCGTTCTCCAAAGCTTCAAATACTTGACTCTTTGGTTTGGCGAGCATTCGAGGACGAGGCAAAGTGACATTCTGCAAAGCTACCCAGTTTCCATCAGTGCTTTGAAAAACAGAAGGTGGATCTATGAAAACAAAACAAGAACAATTATCGCTACATGATCACGGTGTGAAAGGCTCATTTTACCTGCCAGTTTGTGATCAACTGGCCACAAATTGGAGGGTTCAACAAAACTAATGAACAAATGCAAGTGTTGCTGCTACACGGATTCTCTCATGTTGTGAGCCATGCTGCTGTACTTTTAGTCAGAAGCCACCACTTAAAGTCATGGTGATGACTATTTAAAATGTGAGAGTATTTGGACCAAAGCTTTTTTTCTAAAAGAATTAGGAAAGTCTGAGGGAACATCAGTATAGAGACATGTATAAATCCTGTGTTTTGCAAATGTCTTTGATTCTGTGTGCAGTTCTAGTCCCCCATCTTGAAAAAGAAAGACAGAAAAGGGATTAGAGAACATCAACAAAGGTTGCCCCAGGTTCTGAGATGACTTCCATTCAAGGAATGATTAAGTAAGCCAGAGCTCTGCTGTCTGGAGGAGAGAAGACTGACAGGATACACGCTAAAAGGGATGGGTGAATCTCTTCCAAACTAACAACTAGACGACATCAAAGGAAACTAGTGAAATCAAGGTTCAAAATAAACAAATGAAAGAAGTTGGATGCAACAGGTACCAGACCTGTGGAGCTTCTTGCCTAAGGGTGTTACGGATGCAAGAACTTAATCTGGGATAAAACAGAGATGGCTACGGACATGGAAGAGAAATCCACTGAGGTTTACTAAATACAGAAAAACACTTTAGCTGATGTAGTCATTAAGCTGAAAGTTCTGGAGGTTCAGAGCCTACTCAGAAGTAGCATGAAAAATACTTGCTTTCTCCTTATCTTTCCTAGGCTCTTGCTTATGGTTATTGCTGCTGCTGTTGTATCCTAGACTGAAGGAGCTTTTTGTCTGACCCAAGCACTGCTGCCTTTGTATTCTTACACTTATTTCAGAGTACATTTTACAACTCTGGCAAAAAAAAAAAAAATGCCACAAATACAGTCAAAAAGTGCTGTATAGCTCACAGAATTGCATTTCTTCTAAATTTAGATTCCATTTCCAATCACACTTGAAAAGTCCTTTCATGGGAAATGTGAATGTGTGATGACTCTACCTCCCACAGCAGCTGAATAAATAGGTAATGCCATGGTTTTACATAGTAATCTTGGCCTACAGAATGAACTTTTCAGCCTTACAGATTCCTTCCATGGGTTCAAATTTGCCATTTCCAGAATGGAAATATAAAAATACTTATTATACTTATTACAAATACTTATTATAAACTATTAGATTTCTAAAACTGTAAACAGAACTTCACTATTTAAAAATGGAAGTAGTAAAATCTGGATAGTGTTGTAGATGATACTCAAGCATCTTGCATTATATGATTACAAATACTTGGAGCTCAAGAAGATGACTTTTTCCCTGGAATTTTTCATAAAGAACATAAGTATGTCGTAAGAAGGTGTGCTCAGTTTAAAAAAAAAAACAAAGAAGAGTCTGTGGTGCACTACCACCACCAAAACACCCACACAAAAAAGAAACAATAATTAAATGGTAATTAAACTTAGGAGCTACACAAGATTTAGAACAGGTTTTGTATTTATTACTCATTTGAGTCCTTTTGGCTTGTTTTCACTTCCTAAATTTCATGCCAATTCAGAGAACTTGAGAAAATACATCACTGAAGTCATTCTAAGTCCTGCTTAAAAAGAAATCAAAATAGTAATATTTTTCTTGTAGCAGTGACCAGCTGAGGATATAACTGAAGTCAGGTTTATAGGCAGAACAAATAACGCTTTACTGTAACAGCCAATTTTGGAGATAAAAGAATACAAGCTATCAAGCATAAGGAGCTTCTGCTTGTTCACTTTTTCCAACTATGCTCACTAATCTAAGTATAGGATTCTCTTCATAGAAAGAGGACCTTTCCTTAAAAACATTGTTCCTTCAAACAAAGCAGACAAACTCTGCAAGATACAAATCTCCAACAGGAATTGAATTCAGCTGCACCACATTACACAAACATAATGCACTGGAGTGCCACATCATTAGACTTTCTTCTCTCCCAAACCATATAATCTTATTTTGTTTAGCAACAACTCATAAGAATCTGTCAAACGTCCTCATTGAGCTGAAGTAAAGGACAGGAAAGTAGCTGATTACATCTTAGAGGGTAAGCAGGATGGAAAGGAAAGCCACTGAGAATTTTATATTCATAGAATTGTAGAATCATAGAATGTTTTGTGTTGGAAGGGACCCCTAGAGGTCATCTAGTCCAACCCCCCTGCAGTGAGCAGGGACACCGCTAACCAGATCAGGTTGCTCAGAGCCCCATCCAACCTGGCCTGGAATGTTTCCAGGGATGGGGCCTCCACCACCTCTCTGGGCAACCTGTTCCAGTGTTTCACCACCCTCATTGTAAAGAATTTCTTCCTTACATCCAGTCTAAACCTACCCTGCTTCAGTTTAAAACCATTACCCCTTGTCCTGTCACAGCTGGCCCTGCTAAAAAGATTTTCCCCATCTTTCCTATAGGCCCTCTTTAGGTACTGAAAGGCCGTAATCAGGTCTCCCCACAGCCTTCTCTTCTCCAGGCTGAACAAGCCCAACTCCCTCAGCCTGTCCTCATAGGAGAGGTGCTCCAGCCCTCGGATCATTTTAGTAGCCCTCCTCTGGACCTGCTCTAACAGTTCCATGTCCTGCTTGTGCTGAGGGCTCCAGAGCTGGAAAGCTGACTCCATTTTATCCCAGCATCAAGCAATGTCAAATGCTCCCTTCCCGATTTTTCAAAGCAAAGTCACTTACTTGAAAGAATGGATTTTGCATAGAATTCATTGTGTATGCACTACAATTTATGCATATGAAAATCAAAATAGATTTAAGAAGTCTCATTGTGAAACTATTGGTAAAGGGGGAAAAGGCACTAATTCATGATTTGGCTCTTGAGTCATCACTTAAATCAGCGTAAACCGGAATCAAAATGAATTGTGAACTGCTTTTTGGCTACATGACTAAAAAGCCCACTGATTTTACCACTCCAAACTCTCGGTTGAGATTTCTTTTGTTTGCTGTATCCTAATACAGAGCTGCTTACTACTGCATAGGTGAGATCGTATTTGCACAAATCAGCACAATCAGGTATTTACTGTAAGCTCAATAGGCACCACAATTTCATCACAAATGTGGTTCTTCGATGAAAGAAGCAGAACAAATCCTCTGAGCAGAGCACCTGAAAGCAAACTGGGTCAATTTGCATTCTGCTATGGTTAAGCAATTGTTAAGTATTAAATTGCTCAACAGTTGAATTCAATGGGGTTGAAGTGGGTTCTTAAATTTAAGCACCCAATTAACTGCTTTACTGAAAATAGGCCTTCCACTAAAATGCCCAGGAGAACAACCCTTCTGACAGGGGGGTGAATGAGCAGTTCACAAAGTAATGCATACTTAGTTAAGTCAGATTTTAATACTACTTTACTATCACTTTCTTTTTGGGGGCAGGAGGGATATTGACACCGTCTAATTTTCCATCTCCCAGGTTATCAACTGGCATTACAGATAAATAACTCAAATTGATGGGCGGCCACCATCCCTGGTCCCCACTACACCCAAACATGTATTTTGGCTGCTTCTGCTTGCCAGCACCTAGTGAGCTGGCTGTGGGAGTTATAGCACCAGTAAACTCACCCTACAAAAGATGCTCATCTGTGAAGTTCCTACTTATACAGCTTCCTCAAACTTGTGCGGAAGCCGCAGTTAGTAGGGCTGTACAGAACACTGCATTGGTAAATTCATCGGAGCTGGAAATAAAAGTGCAAGGGGGAATCCTAAACGTGAATGATTTTACTTTTTGGTTCACCACGTAACCTCACAAACAGTTAACTTGTGCAACAGAAGGGAGACTATGGGCAGCTGCAAACTCCTTCAACTGGAGACAGATAACCAGGGGACAAAGCAGGGTCCTTGGGCTCTTATGTCTTAGAAGCTCCGAAATGTATCCAAATGAGATGCCTAATGTTTCCTAACAGTGCAAAATCAACTCCCAAAGGCCCAAATTTTGAATCTTTTCTTGGGAAAAAAAAAAAAAGGTAAGATAAGATATGTCACAGCCCAATGAAATCATGACACTCAGCATCACCAAACAGGCATTTTTACACATGACCCCTGCAAGCACAGAGGTCAGCAGAAATTCCCTGGAGAAGGTCCTTGCTTTAAGTCATATTTATTCCACATATAAGTGAGAACCAAAGAAAGAATCATATTCGTACTAGAAATATTTACTTGTTTCATTTAGCCTGTCCACACTTTTCCAGCTGGGTAATGCAGAGAGCTTGCGTTCCTTCTGTTTCCTGAATTGTCCTTTTTGCTGCCTCCAAAGAGCCTCGGTCACAGATGATGCAGGATCCAGCCCTTTACTGGGCATATCTTCACTAGCCAGGGAGAATGCAGACTGAGACCTCTGTGGGAACAAAAAAAAAATCAAAGAGCATAATTTAAAAATAGAAATATTTAATTACCAAACTTTTAACCATAATTAGTATGAGTATTCAGTTACCCATGGAAGTGTGGAATCCGGTAGCATCCAGAAACGGAATTTAATGTGTTCAGAAGAATTGTTTCAGCCTTAGATTGCTTATTTATGTGCATTTCTAATGCTATCAAGGAGGCAGGAAATTGTTTATACTACCACAGACCAGATGGAAAGAAATAATTACGGTGAAGTTGTTAGGAATGTGCTTGGTGAGGACTGATCTGACTGCTTCGACTCAAGCTAGCCAGAAAGAGATCCCATTGCAATGGGACATGATGATCTATTGTTGGCTCAACAGGCCATCTGGTGCAACAATTTGCAGAAGTTAAAAATTAAAAAAAAAGCAAACAAACAGCCTGTTCTCCAGAAATAGATGTGATACGCAACTGATCTTAATGCAGAATTCTTTTGTTTGCTAGGACATAGACATCACACAATATGCTGGGCAGTTTTATGCAGTCTTGCAAATGTTAGGTCAACATAGCCTACAACTGCGCATCTATTTGTTTCTAGGAGGGCCACATTTCAAGTCAAAATGAGGTAAAATACTGTTGTGATTGTTAATGAGCCCTGACTATTACTGAAGGGAAGGCACTTTCCTTTGGATCTACATAAGTAGATCAGACATTTTAGTTTTGACAGCCACTGGGGTCAGTTACTGAAGTCACATTTAAATTTGGCCAGATTTAAAAAAACCTGAAAGCTGGTAGTGTTCTGCTGATTTCAGGAGAACTCACTCTTACATATCAAATCACATATATAATTCTTGAAACAAGGCTACGGCAGTTCAAGTCAAATTTTAACACCTGGCTGACACTGTTTTGTTGCAGCACGATTTTTTTTTTTTTTAGTTAATAACTTTGCTGTTGATGACAGTATGTGCTTAGGCAGCTCAAACGGCAAAAGAGATCACTTTTTCAAACAACAATTAGCTTTTTTCCCATAAGTTTTTACCACACTAAACCTCTGTCTTGGCCTTCATAACAGTCGGTAAAAGACTGCCTGTATACACCAGGGTTTCATTAAGAAATATGCTTTCAAGTGGCTCAGCTTCTTTACGCAGGCCAAGTTGGTAATCTTAAGTCTTTGTACACTTTAATTGATGTTCAAATTACAAATAAATAATTAAAAATGTTAATCTCAAAAGGGCCAGTCTTTGCCTGCATCAGAGCTCTGCCTTGCACTGGTGCAGATGAGGAAAAGGATAACCTGACTTTCAGCTATCTTCAAGTCCCTTCAGTTCCCAGGACAGCATAAGCATTGCTGGGAATCCTGCTGGCCTGCAAGCAATGCTTACACCACTTTCCTGGCTGCACCTCCTCCCACCTGAAATGCTCCTGTGTGGGACCCCTGTACTATGCCAGAAGATTTAATTAACTGCAAATCTTCCCGTATCCTCAGCTCAGCAGTGTGATTTCATAACAGACTCAGCAGAAAGAAACACAACCAAGCACCAGGGTTTAGTATGGCTTCTGAACTCTGGAGGAAAAGCCAGAATTATTGCCCTAGAATCAAATGTTTTCTGTAACTGCATAACTTGATTAGTCCTGTAGATGCAAAGACACAGGTCCTAACGTGATGCATTGGAGAGTTTCCTTTCAAATTCAGTGAGATGAACTACTACTAATAAGCTCACAGTACTGTATAATTTTATTATAGGAAATCTTTCAGATGAGTCACTTGACAAACCAGCTATATTCAAGTGTATGTTTAGGCTGTTTCAAACCTCAAATTAGATCTTCAACTGATCAAAATTATCTGAATCCTCCTTAACTCCTTAACCCTGTAAAAGGGTTAATAATTTAACACACTACAAACAGGTACATAAATTGTTTTGCTCTAGGAATTTGCTCGTTAACTTTGATTTCATCCTGCCAGGATATATGGAAAATATGAACAATTCTGCCACAAATTTGCAGTCTGAACTATGACAAGTTTTAACCGTGCTGTGGCTCACTTCATTGTAAAGCAACAACTAATGAACTTCCCATTCTTACAATAAATTAGGTCCAGTTCACATCTGCCATGTCCTCCGATATCTTTGTGTTCAAGTTGCTACGTACTGAAAGCAGCAAGTTGTGGCTGTCAGTATTTTCACAGTACCAGGAATATTCTCCCAAGGCACATTCTTTTTCCAGGTATATGGCAAACACAGAGTTAACAGATGCTGAAGAACCCAGAAAAAGGAATATCCCTCAGTTTAATCACTAGTATCTATTATCCCTTGTTACTTAAAAAACTGAATCGTAAGAAGAAGAAAAAAAAAAGTCAGGAAAAACATAAGTAGTCTGTTTAATGATAACCTGGGCTCAGATAATGAAAGTAACATGTTTTTTCTTATTATGTAAAATCCGTAGGTTTGACAGCTTTTCTGGTGTTTTGTTTAAATGGCAGCTTCTCACCTGCCTACTCACTGTTGCATAAACATCTCTGTAAAGGCTGCACCGCAGTGACGGCAGTGTCTGCACCGAGCTCTCAACTAACCTGAGACCCGCTAGCAGCTCAGCCCTGGCAAGGCAGAACATGGCACGGGCTGTGAAACCCGCTGAAGGAGCTCAGCAAACCCTGCCCTCGGACCCATGCTTCCACAGCGACACTGCCTGAGCAATTTAAAGCGAGCTCGGGTGCGTCTACACTGTAGGGCAGATATACCCTGCAGAAGGACTAGAAGATACACAACAGCTTGCAGGATTTAAAAAGGAGAAGATGAGCATGATGGACAAAAAACACTGAAAACCAAGGAAGCACAAAAAAGAAAGCAGACACGGTCCCATGTGGTGTAGCAGCCTAGGATCTAAAATAAGCTGATCCGAACAAGCTTATCTAAACCAAGCTGATTCTTTTAAATGGTGTGTTGAAATTTTTGGGTAAGGTCCGAGGGAAGCTGCTCTCCTCAGTTCCTGCCAACTCTCTGTGGAGAGCAGGAAATTGGTATTATGCAGGAACTGCTGCTAATTCCTCCAAATGCAGCAAGGGAAAAAGCTTTTGGTGCCTCCAAAGCTTGGCTTGAGGCCATTCTCATCCTTTTTCTACACTTTATGTGAATTTTTGATAAAATCTGTCTTGGACTGCTCTGCTAGGAGTATCACCTCTTCTCATTGAAGATGATTCAATGTCACAGAAGGCTCAAGGAGAGAAAAGTAATGCCAAGCTAAAATAGCTTGACTGCAACCCTGCATTCAGATCCTGAAAAGGGATGAAATTATGCTACTGGAAGAGGCTGTTGAACGAGCACTTTTCACTACTGCTTTTGTATTTCTCTGTTAATTCTTGTATCTGGAGAGATTTAAATGATCAAGAAGTAACAGTGTTCTAAGAAGCCCCAATTAAGAAGAACAAATAAAAGTAGAAGATTAAGTTATTTCTTGTTCTAAAAGTTAGGTTTAGATAAGGATGGGAGGACAGATAGTAGAACTGTGTTTTACTCAGACAAGTATGGGTGGAAAGAAAGCATGAATATTGATCCCTGATAGCAGTTCAAACCACTGGTAACGTTGATAACAATAAAAAGAAGGAGTGTTAATAGCCAAGCCTGGTGTTGAAATAGGACAGAAGCATATCCTGGCATGGGAACACATCAGTCTACATTGGCATAAACATGGCCATTTTTTTTTCAGAGCACAAAAGCAAATGTTTGCCCACAAGTTTATCTCCAATTACCAGAGGGACTGATGACTCTATCTAGAAAGCAAATGATTCAAAACCTCTTTCTGTTGCTTTTGCAATTAAGAGCAAACTAGGAAATTAGTTATTTGGTGTGAGGTTACACAGCAAAAGCTCTAATCTTGTTTGGCACATTTACATCGACTTCAACTCAGCTGGCACCACCAACTCAACAGCCCTACAGCTATAGCATGGGCTTCAAACCTACATATGTGCCTGCCCATGCTGCTGCCTTCACTGCTGCGCTTGCCTGTGGCAGGCAGCAGAAGTACACGTTACTGTGCCCCATTTGTGCTTCCCTTCATCAGAGAGGTAACAGCCCACCTGTAGATCCACAGGGGACATTCTTCCCTTGTGGACATTTGCATAGGGAGCAAAACACTGAGCCTAAGGGAACAGAATTGAGAAACCTACCTGGGGGCTGGTGCTCCATGGAGTTTCCCTGTGCATGGATGCAGGGAAGTCCTAGAGGCAAGGCCAGCCACCCTGATAGGCTCTGGGATAGGTTCACATTGGAACAAGGGATATTGACTGACCAAACGGAGAAGCCGTGGTTCTGAATCTTTACCAATTGCCTACAAACTTGGACAGCAATAACATCTCAGGGCAGAAGAACCAATCCAGTCTATTTTCCAAAAGTATCCAAATAATACAGCAGCCTAAATATGATTTTCAAAAGGAGGCAGGAATGTAAGAGCTTTGGTCCTGATTTATAAAGGCATGAAAGGTCAAGAAGATCCTTCCCTCCCAGCTAAAGCTACCAGCACCTTTTTTAACCAGAAGTTCTGGTTCCGCAGCAAAAAAACCCCCATCAGCCAAATGCTCTTTTAGGTGTATTTATGTGTGATTAACAACAAGGCTGCCCTGTATGTCTGCAGGCAGACACTAAGGTGCTGCAACTGTTAGTTTCTGCAATAAATTAGTCCATCAGCAGATGGCATTGCAACCCAACAGGTCATTTGCTATGCTCACCACACACACTCCTCGGAGGCATGCGCTGCATACTGGATGGCTGTGCAGTACAGTACAGCTTGCAAAATATAGTTACAGTATTGTCAGGCATTTCCAAACACTTTAGTTAGACGAGTTCCCCATGAAATCCTGCCTACTGGCATCTGCTATGAGATGTTTGTTTCAAAAAGAAATTCCAGACACATTATTAATCCCTTTTTTTTTTTCACTCCTCTTCAGGGGATTTCTGCTGCATAGTTATAATGTCTGGATAGAGAGAACTCAGCCTTCATCTTGTACTGGGCTAGCACTAA